GTGTTGCACTAACAAAAGTGCTTGACAGCTTTGTTGTACATACCAATCTCAGTGTTGAGGTCTAGTCAGAGCTCTTGGCTACACCACTGCCACCATGGTTGGTGGACAAATGAGCTGACTAGCTCTAGAACAACTGTGTATCATACCTTGGTGGTGGCCTGGTGGACATCAGCACCAGCCTCTAGCAGAATGTCCACTACATCAGAGTGTCCCTCTTGACTGGCAATAAAGAGTGGACTGGCACCATCCTGTACAGTGAGAGAGTATGAAGTGGGGTTTACTTCCAGTCTGGAACATGTAGCTACAAACAGAGTTTGCTGACATCTATGGTTGTTTACCTAGCAACCAAACACTATAATTTCAGGCCATGGGAAGGGTGTGCAAAATAAGACCATGATGAAAGGGGATTACTCGGTAGCAAAGGTGTTGATTGTTGGCCCATGTATCTCACGAATGGAAAGGTAATGTAACTTCTACCTACACTTCCATGAAACCTTCGTTGTTCTTGTCTATATACAGCGCTTCTAGCGAGACTCTCTACTGCAGACACACTTAACAACCCTATACTATCTCCTGAAATATTACACTGTGTATTATACCTAGCTGATAGTAGAGTGAGACAACGGGAAACTAGACCATAATAATTGTGGGTAGACACATACATATACACATAACTTCTTGCATTCAAATTACACACATTTTAGTGACATGTGTTGCACTAACAAAAGTGCTTGACAGCTTTGTTGTAGATACCAAACTCAGTGTTGAGGTCTAGTCAGAGCTCTTGGCTACACCACTGCCACCATGGTTGGTGGACAAATGAGCTGACTAGCTCTAGAACAACTGTGTATCATACCGTGGTGGTGGCCTGGTTGACATCAGCACCAGCCTCTAGCAGAATGTCCACTACATCAGAGTGTCCCTCTTGACTGGCAATAAAGAGTGGACTGGCACCATCCTGTACAGTGAGAGAGTATGAAGTGGGGTTTACTTCCAGTCTTGAACATGTAATTACCTACCAACAGTGTTTGCTGACATGCATGGCTATTTGTTAGCCATTGCCTAGAAATTAATGCCCTAATTTCAGACAACTCGGAGGGTGTGGAAAGTAAGCCCATGATAAAAGGGGATCACCAGTTAGCAAAGTTGTTACATTCCATTGACTGGGGTGCATTATTCAGCTCTGAAGCTTGTGCAGATATCATGTTACATCCAAGGCTGTCTTGTATGAAACTTCTGACATTTTTATGGCTAGCCTCAGCCTCACTACTCCATTGACAACCCGACAGCGCTGAGTACACAATCTGTATGAGGCTAGTAGTAAATTATTATGGCTCTGGTCTCATCGACCCATTGCACAATAATCCTACAATTACTCACCAACTTTTTGGATTATTTATTTTTACACTGTATATGGCTTGAAAGTTTTAGTCCACAGCAATCAACAGGAGTATTTTAAGTCAACAGATGAGACATGAGAGTGCCTGAAACAACTAGTTTGCAGTTTTACTTAACCAGCTACAGAGAGTGTAACAACTGCACAATACGTACCTTATTACAGATACTGATATCAGCTCCATTCTCTATCAGCAGTTTAACTACAGCTCTATGACCATTCAAGGAGGCAAAGTAGACCGGAGTCACACCATTCTGTAGAGAACATACAACAGAACACTGGGCATGGGACATGGTGTGAGGTGAGAACAGAAATAGTCAGTCCAATTAAAAACAATAATTATTAACATGAATGTCAGGAGTTAATGCGAGAGTTAAACCACACAAGCGCGATACGCGAAGATTGCATATTTTAACTCCATTTCGTTCATTTCAAGTTAAGTAAAACTTTACAGTATATGTGTGAGCCCGGAACCCGGTCCATTAACTGAAATATGTATCCCTGGGAAACTCTCTGTTGTTGTGGAAGGATTTGCCAAACAATCACTCAGACACTGACTTCCCACATGACATGAACCACACAAAACTGCCACTTGTGAGCATGCCGTGTGCACAGATGCACGTAGGAAAAAGTATGTTGATTTTGACCTCAACCTTGTTCTGGTGGTTGGCGTTGGCTCCTGCCTCCAACAGTCTCTGAACTGTCTCAGTATGTCCATTCTGGGCAGCTATCCCCAGAGGAACACTGCATGGTTCCTACATGGAAAGAGAAGTGGTCAATTGAATGACCACATTAATTTTATTCAAACCAACAAATCAACACATGTTGACTGTGAAGTAATGCTATACATTTTTGCCAACTACAAATGGTTTTATCTAACCACAAGGAGGGTCAAGTACAACCTATATTCCCCAACTAAGTGTGTTTTTCAGTGTTAAACCCTATAATTATATTAGATATTATACTGCAAGATGACATAAGTCTCATTGCCTTTTGTGGACTTGTTTTCAGTCCACATGATGGGTGGATATATGCAGGGGCAGGTGGGCAGGAGGTGGTGGAGGACAACCTATGGTGGAGGAGGGGGCTGGTCCCCAATCTTCACGACAAGATTGCTTGACTACTACAGTGGGTCCCGATTAATATCATACCCGCGGTGCATCCAAAAAATATGATAACATGCGGAATATTCTATAATGCGGGCGCGTATACTGTGTATATTGTGAACTAGATAGCGCACAACGCAGTTGTTTAGCTAAGCTAATGAAGCTAGGCTAGCCTAGCTGTTTACATAAGCTAATGGAAGCCAGGTGGAGAATGGAGAGTTGCAGCCCAAGGTTGTAGAATGCCAATTACGCATGCGCAATAATGACAATATGCGGGCAAAAACCAAAATTGCTCAATTTTTCTATGATAATAGGCGGGATATGACATTATCCGTATTGTATGTATTCTATAAAACGGAGTAAAATGTATGGGAAAGCAGAAATGGTTTTGGATTTCAGGTTTGTATGATTATAAACGGGATATTCGGAGTGGGACCCACTGTATTGTGAAATCATGGATAAAATTTTGGCTACCAGTTTTTTTCCTGCTGTTGAAGCCAGCAGCCTTTTGCCCTTTTCCAATATGTACACTATCTTGTACTGGGAAAGGACCAGTTGATTGGCATGTAGTTTATTTTGGACCAGAAGCCTGTGTTTGTAGTCTGTCAAAGAGTAGGTTCATGCTGACTGGTTTGTGTGTAGCTGTGAACTTAAGCAACTATCTATGTATGAATGTGTACATGTGTCATTCGCTCAGGTTGCATTATGTTGTTATCGCTTAGGTCACGTTATAGTACTGTATTACTGTTACGTTCAGTTGTGTAATCATGTAGTATGTGTTTTTCTGTTCTGTAAAACCCGGTCTGTCTGATAACAGTCAAGTCAGTCGAGTCATGATCATCGTGTGTGTGTGTGGAGTTGGTGACTGGTCACTAGCTCTCATGTCTCGGTTTCTCTCTACTAATGTGTACGCTGCTGTAATGTGGTAATTGGGTTAAAGTCAGCGTTGGCTGCGTGTGTCGAGGTGGTGGTGTGACAGTATATAGCAGACAGCCAGTCAGTGGGGTGACTAAGGAACTCAGATTAACATCACACTTTCTTGTCAGGGATCATAAAACAGTTTAGCTATCATGTTCGAGCAGGATTTGCAAAACTAATTTTATGTGAACTCATTTCAAGGTTCATCTAACAAGAAAAGGATGTTGTTTAATAATAACTGATATGCTCACATACCTTGGTGCAAGCCTGGTTCACATCAGCTCCAGCTTTCACAAGAACATCCACCACCTCAGTGTGTCCCTCTTGACTGGCAGCATAGAGTGGACTGTGACCATCCTGTACCGTGAGAGAGAACTAATGAGACATTCCTGAGTCACTACTGACCATGATCTCCCTCCCTGGACACCAGGAGACCTGACAACCATCTCTGTCAGGTCTCCTCCTCATCCAACCTTCACAAGTCTATAGTCTACACTTCTCACTATAGGCTAAGACTGTATCACTAAGTACGGTAGTACTTAGTATATAGGGATTGACATGGTACCTAGCATCATAGATGCCAAGTCCTTCCTGGATCAGCTAGCTCGAGTCCAGAGAGGTGTCCACAGGCAATGCTGGAGGTGTGTCGATGGAACATGTGCGTACGGGATCGCATATGTCAGGAATGACCACCAAAGAGTCACCCGAACTGATCTGCCTACTCCGCGTACCTTGGAGGCGCAACATGTTACAACAGAGGGCGTGTATCGACTCCCGCTAATAGTGTAGCTAGCCGGTGTCAGACTCTCCGCGAGCTACTAGCGGGAGATCACGAGTAACTGCATAGCCTAGCCCCCAGGAGCAGGTATGGAAAAGTTCATGAAGGATTGAATTTGAAAAGCTTGTGATGTGTCAGGATCCTTGAGGTAGCAAATGAAAAATAAAATGTCATGCAGCTCCAATTCCGTCATTAGAGGGAGTATTGCCAGAGATATAGAGTGGTGCTTGTAGGTTGACTGAAAGTCATTGAGGATGAACTTGGACGCACGTCGTTGTACTCTTTCGAGCAGCAACATATCGTTGATGGGGGAGGTCCTCAGATATTGGAGCCCAAAGGTAGTGACGGGACGCATGAGAGCTGAATATAAATATAATATTTTCTTAGCTGAAATACTGAGGCCATTGGAGAAGGACCTCCTCCGAATTAGGCCTAGACTTTGGTCAGACCGCGAGCAGTGGATCATTGTAGGTAATGCCCCATTTGATGGTCACTAGATATCAGATTTACTAGATCACGATAGCAATCAAGGCTTGAATAATTTGGTGAGGGGACTATTGATGTGTAGTCATGGAGGAGCACGCGTGGTAGACAAAGACGGAGAGTAAAACACATTTGTTTTTGTCTGAAGTGCAATTCACTGAATGCTCCAGGAAAAAGTAGAGGGTCATCGTGCAAGAAGTGAAAGTGAGAGTCAGATTGAGAGGAGATATATCTTGAAGCATTCGGTAGCTAGTCGTCTGACCGTAAAGGACTAAGGAATATGTGGGAATGCCTGCACGGACAGAGGAAGGTCAGTGGACGAACAATCAGGACATGAGCGGACCCAGGATATAACTACCCACTACCTTGCGGAACACCGGAGATCAACAGAAGTACGTCAGATGTGCATTGATTTAGTAGAACACATTGGATCTACCAGACAGATAGGACGAACCACTCCACAGGTTCCTGTTAGACCAAAAAGACCAGAGTTTATGAGAAGTTCATTGTGAGGCAAACTATCAAATGCTTTCTAAAATCGTGGTAAACAACATTAGCTTGTGAGTGGTGTCTAGAATAGTGTGAACGGTGTTGTTTTAAGATGGTCAGAGTAGTGTCGAGGAATGCTTTGACGAAACCAAATTGACAGGAAGAGATAGATGTAGATATGAATGGGATTATCTTGTCATAGATCAGCTTTTCAGGATTTGAGGACAGACAGAGCAGAAGAGAGATAAGGACGCTAGTTTCGCATCGGACGACTTGTCTCCAGACTGGAAACATGGCAAAATCAGGTGCACATGCCATCTGAGGGAAGGGAGAGTGTTGAGACAGACTTAGAAGAAATAGGTGGTTGAAGAGAATACTTCGGTAGGACCGTATCACCATCAATTCCCATGGCTGTGATGTATCAGAGTAGACTGAAGCCTCACACTATCCAGTTTCCTGAAATGCCTATATCAGATGAGTAGATTAGGGGTGTGCAAATCTTGTATGGAGGTAGCTAGCTGAAAGGTGCTCTGGGTGAAAAACTGAATGGAAGATGTTGTTAAAAAGCGCTGCTTGTGCATAGTCACTATAGAGCCAGTGTATGAATCCAGTGTGACAGTGAGGGTAGTGCGCGGCGGGAGGATCAGAGGCCTCTCAAATGTTTAAAGATCTTATCAGAGGTTGGAAAGCTACTAGATGCTGTTCGAAGTTGCGTTAGATGTGATCCATGAGTTGAGAAAGGTAGGTTCTAGAGAATGGACGTAGTTGGAGAAGAATGTCTTAGTCCCTGCAGAACGCAAGCGCTTAACTTGCGTGTCTATTCTAATCTCGATTTCACAAACACGGGTAATCTCTTGGGGGGTGGGGGGGGGGGGGGGGGTCCTACTACTACTAAACTACCTTCACTTCCCTTTTGAATGAATAAGTTCATGCCCTTGAGCAGGATTCTTTTAGTTGTGAACCAGACGAGCTTTCCACGAACTAGACCTGAGACAACAACTGAAGTCTA